GTTATACTCTGGCTTTCGTAGAGGAAACACGGCTTGACTGAACGGAGTCATGGAGAAAAGATTGTTGTTGCTATCCTTGTTATGGCTTTTATTAATAAGAAGAAGACGACGACATCAGCGTATTCGTCGAAATATAATTTATTGGGTACATCCTTTATTGGAAAACAAAAGTCAAAGCCATTTTCGTACTGATTATCCTTAACTTCGAAGGTTCACGAAGTAATTTTATAAAAAATTTAGAATGAACAAGAATTCATTTGACTACTTGTTAAACGATCTGAATAATGAGTTGCAAAAAAAAAAGGCACGGCCATGAGAAAAAGCATACCATCTGTTGAACGTCTGCCAATGCAATGACATTGAGGTGAGTAATTTTTTTTTATAGTAAATTATTTTTAAGTACTTAGAAAATATAATTAGGTCCATCTACCGGGCAGGCTTACCGGGCAGATGAAACTAATTTATAAAATATAAAATACAGGTGCAAATTAAGAGGTCGTACCTACCTGGTTTTGATCGCGGCAATAGCGCACTTTCATTAAAAAATTATATCTTTTTATTTAAGGCATAGATAAAAAATCTGTCAGCCAATTTTTAAATTTAGCAAAAAAGATTTAGCTAAAAAGTGGCTGAGACAGATTTTTTATCTATGCCTTAAATAAAATATATTATTAATTTAATGAAAGTGGCGCTAGTGTTGCGAGGAAAATCAGGTACGGCCTCTAAATTCATTAACAATAAAAAGTAAGATTATGATTGTGGGCACGTTTCATATAGTTACCAATCCAGTCAGCGCCATATCGACCTACCCTTATCTGTCAAGTTTCTGCAACTGAATTTCAACCTAATTTTAAACGACACAGATTTTCATAGGTCGATGTGTCGCTGACTGTACGTTACGCACACGCCATGCGTCCGGTCTGCTCAGGCCTTTATTATTGCCAATGAGTTAATTTGCAACTGTGGTAGAGAGGATAGGAAGGCGAAAACAAAGAGCGTACTTATATATTTTTATTTATTTTGTCATTCAAAAATAAACAGAGTAGGTAATTAATCAGTTAATCTCCGAAAATATCCGTTATAATCGGATCATTATAGTTTGAAGCCTGAGAAGAGACGCTGATTGGAGATTCTGGTACTGAAATCTCTTGGTGTGGATGCAGTACGCTAATTGCGAAGCTGTGGAGAGTCTGTTTCCATATCCGGCCGATACCTAGACGTTGATGGTCGCTTGTACGGTTGGTACGCTGGTGTCGTATACCCCTGTCCATATTCACTGTAATTATCATTACGTGTAGTTTTGGGTGTGTGATATTTTTGAATTACATTCAATATTTCTATCTGAGCATTCAGTTTCTAATCATCGCGAATGGTTTTAAATCTATCGTATAAAGATGGCAAAAAATACGTATCACTGTCACAGGACTTGTCGGGTTCCTCTGTACGAGTATGCGGAGTTACTTAATCGCTCAAATGACTTGTTATTTTTTTTATTAACCCATATTCTGCATCATCTTTTTTTCTTTGGATATTTTTTGGTCTCTTCCAAACTTAGAGTCACTCGTTTCAGTAGTATTATCGTCTTCATTATCGATTTGTTCGATGTCATCGTCTTGGTTTTGTACTGGTAGAGACGATGTTGTATTTCGATTTTCAGACAATGGTTTTAAAAATAATAATTGACTAAAGTAGTAGTATCTCTTTGAACTACCTGCTGAACCGCTTCTCTCTGAATTTTGTTTTTTAAGGTCTCTGTTGAAAGAGTCTCCTAAGCTTTTCCATTTTCTTTGTAAGTTGACAGCTGAAAAATTAATTATTAAATTGAAATTTGTGGAAAAGTAAGTTGGTAGTAAATTTGAAAATAACATATAAAATAATAATAATATTTTACAATATCGAAATTACAGTGATCAGATCATAGTACCCGGATGACCGAGCTTTGCTCGGTTTTTTTTTTGAAATTACATTTAGATACAAATTACATACTGATGAATAATATTTTTGGTCTTATTGACATAATAGAAAAAACTGAACTGGTTATTTGAATAAAAAATCATGAGTGCAATTAGTTTAATTAAAATTTTCGTATTTTTTAAAAAATACTGAAAAAAGGGCTCGAAATAACAGATTTTCTCACAAAAGAAGGTAACTTGAAAATAAAAGAAAAAAATCGGACCGGAGACAGGACGCGAACCAAGGCATTACGATTTCGCGACCACTCTTTATCCACTTGAGCTATTACGCTCATTAACAAAATGTCAAAATTTACCTTCTTATATTGTAGCAGTTTTTCATTGCCTGAAAACACGTACAAAAAACATTTTTTAATAATAAATACTAGCTAGATCAATTTATTGCCCCCGAAACTCACTGGACACTAAATTTTATGAAAATCGTTGGAGCCGTTTCCGAGATTCCGATTATATATATATATATATATATATATATATATATATATATATATATTATTTTTTCAAGAATGGCTCGTTTAAAGGTATAGTATAATGAACTCAGTATTGAGGATAATTTCTGTATATTTAAATATCCATGTTAATAGTTTCAAGTTATTCTTAAATTCACAGCCAAGCATCTTTATATGATTTGATAAATGTTTAATTTTTTTTAAATTTTACCATATTAAAATTAACTGGATTTATTTTATATTAGTCCAGTATAATGTAAGATCGATCATTTCCCAAAATGTCATCAGCCTATTGAATGGTGTTAAAAAAGGTTGAAATACCTAATACTATAAGGGGTCGTTGTACTATTCAACACGAGCTACTTTTACTATGGGGACACATATACCTAATGAAGTGTACGAAACAGCTGATTTTTTACGATTTCGTATGTGTCCCCGTAGTAAAAGTTGTTCATATTCATGAGTACAATACAATGACCCCCGTGCTATTTATTTCAACCTTTTGTAACTTCCTGTATAATTCCATTTCATTATTATTTTTTTTAATATAATTTTTTTGTTTGAGATATTTGGCAACGGGGTGTTCGTTTGAAGATCTCGCCGATTTTTTAAATGTGGTACTTCAACTGCTAGCAAAATTGTCCACGACGTGTGCCGCGTGACTTGGGATAAATTACAGCCTATTCATTTACCAACATGTAATAAAACAGTGTGGCTTGATATTGCGAACAAATTTAAGGCATGCCCCGCACTAGGCAGCCTGGCTGCGCAGCCAGACTGCGGCGGCCGAAATATTTGAGCACCCACTTCAGGCAGCCAGGCTGCGGCGGCCGTAATATTTGACATCCAATGTACAGCCAGTTGCGATCCTTTTTTCGAGGGATATGCGCGTGGGAGAACTTGTAATTTTGTGCGTATCTCGTAAAAAACGCAAAGTTAAAAGACATTGGATTCATCCTCTTTTTCTAGAACGGCACTCAAAAGGATTATTTTATACCTATTTTAAAGATGTTCATAAATACCCAGACCGGTATTTTAACTATACGAGAATCTTAGTGCAATCATTTGATAACCTATTGGAAAATATAATAAATTCAATCAAGGGCACTGATACTCCTATGCGAGCTTGTATAACTCCAGAAGAAAAATTGGTGATTACATTGAGGTAAGTGCTAATAGTAAATAAACAATACTGTTAATTGTTTATAACATTTATTCTTTATTTCTTACATTTGTGGTAAAGAATTTTCCTGAAATAGTTCAAGTAATTCAGAATTCTGACACGTATCTGTTACATTTGTGTCAGATGGAGATAACACCTCAGTATATCCGGTATTGTCTTGCTTGTCTGGAACAGACGTAGAATATGCACGGCTGCTTTCACTGTGTCGAGTATCCATGGCGATATTGCCCACTGCTCAAGATTTCCGGCCTATATTCAGTTGAGTATTCATGGCGATATTGCCTACTGCTCGAGTTTCCCGGTCCATATCCGGTTCCTTGTAACAGGTTTCCAACCACCACACCTGAATGTAACTGTCTGCACTTATTGCGTAGTGATAATGTAAAATACTTGGGCGTAATTATTGATGACAAGTTAAATTGGTTAGCACATATCGCTGCTGTTAGTAATAAATTAAGGAAGCTCGTATATGTGTTTAAAAACTTAGGAGATGTTTTAGATAATGAGGCTATAATGAAAGTATATAAAGCCCTTGCAGAATGTGTTATGGCTTACTGCATTAGTTCTTGGGGTGGGGCAGCTAAAACACACCTTATCGAACTCGAACGTGCACAACGTGCTTTATTGAAAGTTATTAAAGGCCTACCTTTTAGACACCCGACTGAGGACTTATACAAAATATGTGACGTACTTACCATACGAAAGTTATATATCTTCCATTCTATTCGTAAATATCACAAGTACTGCTTCTCAAATACAAATAAGTGATAAAAGGACGGTCCGCTATCCCTTGCCTGCCTACAAGAGCAACTTCGCTAGAAGACACTTTAACTATTCCGCTACATTACTGTACAACAAATTAAATACAATTTTTAAAACCGCTCATCTAAGTAATCATAATATTAAGTCAATTTTACTAAAGTGGTTAAGTAATTTTGACTATGACGGTACTGAGAATCTTATCGTTTCCACTAAATAATTCTTATACAATATTACGACGTTTACACGCACGTATGTGCACACACGCACACGCACACGCACACACACACACACACACACACACACACACACACACACACACACACACACATATACTTTTTATTTACCTTATTATTATTGTTTTTTTACTCTCTCTTTATACTTTGTTAAGCTATATGTTATTTTTGATGTCATTCTAATTAATTTTTTATACCGTTTGCTATAATAGTTTGTCACAATACAACTATATGTCACTGAAACGGGGAAGATGCTGTAGCCTGTAACACAGTTTTCAACTACCACGGGCTACAGAGCTTCAATATGATTTGTTTGTAAAAGTTATGTGAGAAACAATAAATTATTATTATTATTATTATTATATTCAGTCGAGTATCCATGGCGATATTGTCCACTAACCGATGTTTCTGGTCTAAATAATCTGGCGGTTGATGTCCCTGGTTCATAATTAACATGACCTTGGCGAGACACACCAAATTCGGAATTGTAAATTTCCATAAAAGGCATTTGAGCTCTTTTTATTACGTCAATTAACTCCATTCTCGTAGAAAGTTTACGATGTTTCGGAATGTCTTTAAAATCTTCTAGAAGCGAAAGCATAAATAGTCTATCTGAATCAGATTCTTGCTTTCTTTCACGCTCTTCTCTTATTGCGATACTTTTCTTTAATACTTGAACCAAATTTTCGTCGTCACATGTCTTCTTCTCTTTGAAAACGGGTCGTTTACCTAATACAATCGCTGTCATCGTTGGTCTCCGCAGGGCGTGTTTCACCCATGCTATTTTGAGTTTCATTATTTATTACAGTGGCTTTAAGAAACTGTAGTTGTTTGAAATATACGTAAGGACTCTTACGCAAAGCTGCTGCTCCACTTTTAGCACCGGCTCTGCGTTTTGTTTTTTTGCTGTAGATATTTACCTGAAAATTAATATAAGTATTACCTATATCTTGCTACAGGCTGTTCTATGATGGAAATCAGCCATAATTTTCGGATTGGACATACCACTGTCCGAGATATCATATATGAAATTTGCATGGCGATTTGGGAGAACATGAGACAGTCAACGTTTCCAGAATTAAATGAAGAAAGGTGGCTTGAAATAGCAAAAGGTTTCAATGAAAATGCAAACTATCCCAATTGTATTGGTGCCATCGACGGGAAGCATATAAGAGTAATTAAACCCAGCAACTCAGGATCACTTTATTATAATTATAAGAATTATTTCTCAATCGTTTTACTTGCTGTATGCGATGCGGATTATAAGTTCACATATATAGATATTGGGGCATATGGAAAATGTAGTGACTCATCTATATTTAAACAATCTATTTTGTATCAAAAAGTCGTCAATAAAGATACACGAATCCCGGAGAAGAGCCCCATATCAAATAATGATGTACCGATGCCATACCACATTGTGGGAGATGAGGCATTTGGTTTATCTGAAAATTTAATGCGACCTTATGGAGGAAGGGGTTTAACAGCCAATAAAAGAATCTTTAACTATAGACTGTCTCGGGCATGGCGGCACATAGAATGCACGTTTGGGATTCTGGCAAACAAATGGAGAATTTTTCACCGTCCACTGGATGTCCGACAAGAATTTGCAATTGCCATAGTACAAGCATGCTGTGTCTTACATAATTACGTACGCGAAAGAGATGGTTATTGATTTAAAGACACACTGTACGTTCCTCCAGACCTCGAAATAACCCCAGGTCCCTTAAATAGAGGGAGCCGATCATCAGCATCGTATAGAGATTTATTTGCGGATTATTTTATCAATGAAAACGCTAGAATGGCAAAACCAATATGCATTGGGATAGTAGGTACCTACCTACTCTATACTTTTAAGTGTATAAACAATGAACTAAAAATATATCCATAGAATAATAAAATACTAACTAATAAAAAACATAACGTACCAAATTCACTTTTTTCATTTGCTGTTAAATTGTCCTCGCACATTATATTTGTGATTTCTTCTCATTTTCTTTTCTTTACATCACGATCTCTGTATTCTTCTAAAGATATATCCCATATTTTAGTTAGTTTTACGGTTTTCAATTTCGCGAATAAATTTCTCCGTATCGAAAGTCATTTTGTGATTTCAGAAAACAAAATACATCTGGCTGCTACAAGTGCGCGGTGACTGACGGCAGCCACATACATTCGCCCTACTCGCTCTGGCTGCGCGCAGCCAACGGGCTGCCGTGCAATCGGGCGCGTTTTTATGGCTGCCGCAGCCGGGAGTTCTTGGCTGCTTAGTGCGCGGGCTCACATACATCGTCTATGTTCGGCTGGCTGCCACAGCCAGGCTGCCTAGTGCGGGGGGCTAAAAAGAAAGCAAATTTTCCAAACTGCTTAGGGGTTGTAGATGGGAAACATATTAGGATTACGAGTATTCATCCACCACCCAGTGGTTCATTATTCTTTAATTATAAACATTACTTTTCTATTGTTTTAATGGCCGTATGTGACGCCGATTATTTATTCGTGTATGTTGATGTAGGAGCCTACGGTTAAACTTCTGATTCAACTATTTGGAGGGACTGCAGTATATATGATGCAATGTAAATAAATGATTTAGATCTACCTGGACCGCAAGCAATTACCCCTGTAGGTAGGCCCTTGCCTACGGTATTCATTGGCGATGATGCCTTTGGATTACACAAACATTTGCTGCGACCATACAGCGTCAAGCAATTAACAATGAAAAAACGTGTTTTTAACTATAGATTATCACGAGCACGAAGATATGTAGAATGTTCCTTTGGAATTTTGACTAACTAATGGCGAATATTGCATAGGCCAATTAACGTGTTAGTTGAATAATCCTTCATTCTCGTAAATATCTGACGAACGTGCTCTTTATGTTCTAATTCATCCCGTGAAAATATGAGGAAATTGTCAAAGTATAGGTAAAAAAATCTAGACCATGGGTCATCTTATCAACTAACTTCTGGAACATCTGACTAGCTTCGCGCAACCCGAATGTCATATATGGGAAGTCGAAGAGTCTAAACGGTGTCGTAATGGCAGATTTGGGAAAGTCCGCCTCAATGATTGGTATCTGGTTATACGCCTTCACCAAATCTATATATATGTTATGTACTGTGTTATGCTCGGGTGTGCGAAGAGCGCCTTCCGGTCGTTTCAGTTCTGGAAATACGGAAAGCATTTTGTGAAATTTAAAAAAAGTCACCCGTCACGACCTTTACCCTCAAAATATGGCTATCGCTATAAGTAATAGAAGCTACAGCTGACAATTAGTAGTGGCATCAATAAAAGCTTATTACGTATTTCGGCAGTAAGGATGGAATGTGTCAAAAAAATCTACGCCTATAATAGCTTTAGTGACGTCAGCTACAGTAAAACGCCAAACAAAGTCTATGCGTAGGCCTAAATTAAGATTTAGCTCAACATAACTATAAGTACTTATTGGCGAACCGTTGGCTGCACACAGTTGGTAGCAGTTTTTGCACGTCGTTAATGAAGCGCAGATCGAGGGAAGACGCATAAGTCGCTTCCGGTGTCCACCATGAATTGAACTCGCGATCTGCGATCTGTCACGAAAACGCGCCCAGTAATGGGGGTCGGGCAATATTCAGTCGCCATTATACATTGCCTGTCGCGTTTTCCGATCTGTAGTCATATGGCTGGATGGACCTCATCGCTTTATATGCAATTTGTGATGGTACCAGCAGTTGGGGAACTTCATGTAATTAGACTGGGACCTTCTCGATGGCGTATAGCTTCGCCCACGTGACGTCTGTCATTGATGGGGGCGAGAGCGGTCGTTAAGTCTCGTAGTGATTGCACTAACCTGTTTAGTCAATTCCGTGATTTGCCACGCCATAATATCCAATGTGGAGTCCACTCTGGAGCTGGCTATTGCTGCAACCAGCTACGATACCGTTAAGATGTCGTGGACTCTGTCTACCAGGTCAGCGAGTTCGCTGAGACACGGGCTCATCTGGGATACGATGATGGTCTGCAGGACTTTGGAAGACGGCTCATTTAAAGTGACGTCTAAAAATCGTCTGATATCGTAGGGCCAACCAGGTGTTGCAGATAACGCAGGCATTGTGATGGCTTGCGATTACCTAACTCTTTAGACTGAAAGAGCTGTTTCACTTTTTTCTTAATTTTTTTTTGAAATGGACGCTTAATTAGCTCACTTTTAAGTTTCGTCTACTTCTTCGTGGTTGGAGGCGAAGTAATTCTGTCTTCCACCTCTACCGCATAATGCCGGTGCAAATGAGAAAGGACGTAGTGAAATTTCTTTAGATCATCCGTGATTCTCAATATGCTAAACTGACCTTCAATTTGCGAAAACTTTATCGTCGGTTAGGCCAAAACGGTGGTATTCTCCCGCCAACACGAAATATGTCGGATGAATTATCGTGCAAGTCAATGGCCACACGATCTCGTTTTGTCGATGACCGCGCCCTTTTTTGCGAATGTTTTGTGTCACTACCGTAACTACTCATCTTAAGTGTTCTACTCGGGATCACCAGTTATGTAGTGTAGATTTAGTTGTGGTGGTATGTAGGTATGGTACCTGCTGGTGACTTCCGTTGCTAGAATAAGCTAATGCCCGAATACTGAAACGCAACTTAAATCTGTCAATTTATTAAAGGTCCTCTAAATTTGAGCATCTCTCAAATTTAACTGAAATACAAAAACATCACTCAAGTGATTTGGGGGTTTGATTAGCTGAGTAGCCCTCAAATGATTACGTCATGGTAAAATTTATATATAAAACTTTGTTCTTCTTGACAATTTTACGATATTTAAATTTAAATACGTTACAAGCAACATCATCTGAAAATATTTAAACAATTTTGTATTCGATTTGCTTTAAAATTATATTCAACAATAATCTCCTAAAAATACTTTAATTTTAAGTGTGATTTATGTGATTTTTTTCAAATATTGTGGATGAAAAGTCATCAAACATCTCAAAGTATAAAATTGTGTGAACATCGCTCCGTCTATTTCCTAGAACGAAACGACAATCTTTTCCTGACCTGTGCTGTGCTGTCAGTTGTTTCGTTGACCGAGTACAAAAGTTTAAATTTGAAAATTAATATACTTAGATTGTAAAATTTTCATTTTAAGACTATAAATTATAATTATAATTTCATTGACTACAAATTATCGTTTAAATGGATATTAAGAGGAGACGCGGATGCAATTACACAGTGTCTGAGAAACACACTTTATTGGAATTGTTAAAAAAGCAAGTAAATACTTAAATCGTCAAATGAAACAAACTACATTAAATAGAACGCCCTTTTTGACATTGTAAATAAAATATTATAAGAGTTGTTCATATTGCAACGTGTGTTACATATTTCAGATATCAACATATAGAAAATAATGAGACGAATGCCCACATTATTTTGAAGAACCGACAGGTTTGGGATTGCGTGTGTAATGAGTTTAACGTTGTTGCTGTAAGCGGTGTTAGAACGTGGCAACAATTACGACATTTATATGAAAATCTTAAACAACGATCTAAAAAGAATGTTGCCAAAGAAAATGTAATCTTTTATTTATCTTGGAGATCATAAATATTAAGAAGTCACGTTTTATAATAGTCGTACCTATTGTTTAATAATCCTTTTGATTTTAGAGATTACAGTATAACGAAAAAACAAAAGAGGCCGAAAAAAGGTATCTATAATTAAGGTAGATATGTCCATATATTTGGAAAATAATTGATATAGCACCTATTAACTAATTTAGTTTTTTATATAGAAAGAAATAACTTCTACTGGATGAAATTCCTATAAATTTATTCTGACTCAGCAAGATGCTCAGATTTTAGCAATGGTTGCTCCACAAGTGCAACCACTGCAAAATCCGTTTGATGATGCTGCATTTTATTTTGGTTAGTTTGTTTAATCTCTTCTTAGATCTTTGATAAGAAATAAGATTAATTATTGTTTATTTATCACATGACAACACAGAATTGATTTTTGAGGACATATAAACTGTTTTAAGGGTACACTAGTCGCTTATTGTTCCATACAAACGTAGTCCGGCGATTACTCCACTGTTTGATGGTGTACGTTCAAAATAAAAAAATGATTTCAATTTGTCTCATAATTATCTAGCCCTGTATGGAAACAAAAAAGTAAAAAAGAGTATGTTTAGAAGTTATAAGCGTCGAAAATTCCGAATTTCAACACTATTTTTAACACATCTTTGGGCGGAAATAAATACCATAAGAAGAACGAAAATGGCAAAACAGTTACCATACAGGGATAGATTAGTTGTTCAAAAATTCAAATAATTTTATTTTAAACAGATACATTCAATAGATTTTTCGTGACATCCAGACTACCAAAGGTCTGTTTATAAAATTTCGCGCGCCCGTTTTTGTTATAAAACATCTTGCCTTTCGCTACAAATTGTTTCCCCGATCAGTGGGGCGCAGCGCGCACTCGCACATACTCACTAGGTTAGCCGCTGCTATCTATTTATGGTTGTAATACCTACATATCTACATCTTTATTTAGAAAAATTGCCTCCTTTTGTTCGTGTCCATTGCTGAAGCCGGGATGAATATAGCTGCTAAAATGTGCCCATAAGTTTGTTGAAGCACATTTAGTTAAAATTCAAAACAGGTTGGTACATAATAATGAACTTTCGATACAGGTAGTACATTAGGTACTTAACTACTTTAATTTGCTAACTAACGAAAACATCTCATAGATAAGCACGATTATCGAAAATCTTAAAATTATCTATTAATTTAATTAGAATAGGTAATTTTTAGATTTTCGATAATCGTGCTTACGTATAGGAATCTCATATCCTAATATACTTAATGTAATTTATGTAAGTACATAAGAATCTAAGAAGGGCAGTCAATGATAAATAAAATGTGTTTTGTAAGTTGTTTTTTTAAAAACATTTTAACACAACAAAAACATGAATCTGAGAAGAAGCACCCGATCTGCCGAAACAAACTCAGAGAGGTCATTCCAGGTATTACATTGGTCATGTCATACGAGAACCAGACTAATATGGTCCTTTGAAGAAAAAATCATACAGATGTGAGTGGACAACTAAGTACTTTTTAGGATTCCGTACCCGAAGGGTAAGCAGCAGGGCCCTATTACGAAGCCTCCGCTGTCCGTGTGTCTGTCTGTCAGCGGGCTGCATCTCATGATCCGTAGCCGGTAGGTGGTTGTAATTTTCACAGAACGTGTATTTCTGTTGCCGCTATAACAGCAAGTGAAAGCAAGTGTAAAAATAAATTTGAAATTAAAGGATTTTCGACTAGAAAAAGAAACGTGTATTTTTGACTTTTTTGATCGATAGTAATATGTATAGGTATTTAAATCTTGTAATCTCGGAAGCTCGGAAGTCCGATTCGCACTTGGCAAAATATTTGTTTATATTTAACCTTACCTCAGACATACTTATATTTTTTTATATATAATTTACTATACTAGTTTTTTTATTTTATTTTTATATTTTATATCTATTTTTTTTGGTTTATGTGTTTTGGGGTTTTTTTGTTTTTTTTTTTTTCTTTTTTTAATTTTTTTTTTCTATTTGTTTTTTTTTTTTTGGTTTTTTTTTTGGGTTTTGATTTTTTTTTTTTTTTTCCTCCGGTGTTTTTTTTTTTTTTTTTTTTCTTTTTGTTGGTATTGTATTTTTGTGATATTATTCTTCTTTTTTTTTATTTGTTGGTTGGGGGTGGGTTTTTAATTTAACCTCAAAATTTTAATAAGCTAACTAGCTAAATGGAAAATAGTAATAGCTATTTGCAATGGGTTATAGTATACTTTATTAGATTTAATTTGCATTACAGTATAATACGAAAACTATAAAGAAAACATAAGTAGCGCTACCTACACTTTTTAGATATTGGGTTATGAATACAAATAAGTACACGTTTTAGGATTTGAGAGTTGTCCCTTTAGTTGGTACACGTGATATTGTTGTGTATTGAGATGCTAAGGCGACCCAAGATGATTCTGTCATTATGATTTCTCCAAGATCCCATCATCAATCCTGATCTGACTATCATCGATTACCGTGGGATTATCTGGATAATATATCCTTTCAAACAAAATAATAAAATTTTCCAAATCGGTTCAGGCTTCAGGCATCTTCGAGAAATCGGGGGACAGAACATACATAAACAAAAACCAACGAATTAGGAACCACCTCCTTTTTTTGAAGTCGGTTAAAAAGTAGGTAAAAACAAATCAATGGAATTATTATATAATAACAACATCTACTTAAGTTCACATAAGAACTTTCACAATAACAACTAAGTACATAAATTGGGTTCATAATAATTACGTTTCACACAGCAGATCCTAAGTTATAATAACACCAATTTGTTTTCTCTCTCCTTTCTCTTTTTTAAAATACGTTACCCCCACAGTAGGATTTTCTCCAGTATCGTGGAGGCAGTTTACAAACATAAATTGCACAAGGACAAACATCCAGACAGGAACAACTATTTGTAGGCCATACAAATATTTGTTCCGTGCGAGATTCGAACTCGCGGCGCCCAGCGCAGTCTCATTGCTAAGCCACTGCGATACGGATCTCAAATTGCCGTTTGAGTTTGTTATTATTCAAAAATGAATCGCATAGGTAGGTATGCGATTACGCCGTCTCGCATTGCGTCACTCGAGTGCGTATGTGTGTGCGCACTAGCTTCTTACTGCTCATCACAGCGTCTATCCCTTTCGCACGTGATGTCGGCTGAGATAGCATGCATTTTTACCCCGCCCACCACTTATTTCGTGCCATCGACTAGGGCAACCTTAACAGTGAATGATGTAAACAAGGTTTACTGTGCTAATACCGGTAAAGATTATATTATTATATATTTTTTAAGATAGGTGCATATCTTTAGATAACCATCAAGCAATTTTTATTTTTAGATAACCATCAAACACTGGCAAATAATTATATGGAACAGAATAGCGATAAATCTCATACAATTACATCTATACAAATAGTAGAAATACAAAAGGTATTTACTTCATTTTACTTTTCAACAATGGCACATTATGGAATAAGTTATTAATATAATGTGACATGAGTGAGGTCGAGTAACATATTGATAAAAATCTTATTTTTGGGAATGAATAATATAAATTATAAATAATCATTTATGTTTTTTTTAAATTGTTTGTTTTTATTAACAAATGTTATTAATAAAGGTGTTAAATTAACCTTAGATAAACATTTTTCAGAACACAAAAGCATTGCAACAGAACGGAAATCGCACGAAACCACTAAACAACAATATTTTAAATCAAAATTAAGGAATGCCAAATTAGAAAATAAATATTTAATAAATAAAAACAACATGGAGCTCAACAAATATAAATTAGAAATGCAAATTTTAAAATTAAAATTAAAGAGTATTTTATGAATATTTTATTTTATTACTATTACATTTAGATTTAAGAATTTGACGTTATATAATTTATTTGTTAAATAATTTATAAACAAAAGTGTATTTAAGATTTATTTGTGTATAATGGGTGATTTATGGATCTTGACAACATTGCCATCTACCAAATTCAATTGTAGATTAAAACCATCCAGGGTCTCATTTTGGAGGAGTTCAGTGATAAACACAAATACAGAAGAATAGGCGATGCAAAGATTATCCGCACGCCTCTAGTGGCGAAATTTAGAAGCTGTCTAAGGACGACACTTTGTTTATTTGTTGAGGTTATGTTTAGATTATTCAGATGGATCACGATTATATACGGAAACCTGTTGCTAATAAAAGCAGAAATACGAAATATTGTTGCGTTCCTCAATGTAGTACTTACGGAGATACGGGAATAAGTTTTCATTTATTCCCAAAAGACAAAATTATGAAGAAAAAATGGAAGACTGCTTTAAGAATAGGCAAGCCAATTTCACCATCAATGAGAGTTTGTTCTTCATCATTTTCAAGCTTCAGACTTTTTTCCAAACAGTAAGTATAATTATGTTTTAATTATTTTATTGTACATACATTATATTTATATGTATTTCCCATGTTATTCATTTAGTTTACGCTAAGGCGAGTTTCTCGTCAGATAACGAGATTATTTATTGTTCCAGATTCTAAAAGGCAGAAGTTGTTTCCTTATGTCGTACCGTCTCAGAATATTCCTAAAAGAAGCTCTGATAAAGAAGTACCATTAGCCCAAAAAATAAAATCAATTGCTCGAGAAAATAGGGCTGATATTAGACGCAGGAAAATAGTGGAATCAAATAAAGAGCTTGGACTTGCTATTGAGAATAAAGAAACTAAATTTGAAGATGGATTTGAGGACAATAATATAACTGATAACAACAGTCATCTTCATGTCATGACTTCATCGACACAAGTCAATTTAGTGGATTACAGAAATTATCGTCCCCGAGAAGACTGGAGTATAGCTGGCATTCATTGTGACAAAGAACCTTTGGAAAAGTGCACTCAAATAAATTTTCTTCCTATGTGGGAAGAGGATAGATCAGCTTTAAAGCAATTAACCCTGTCAGATTTAGTCAGTAGTGATATGTGTTTATTTACTTTTACGGGTATTCATTCAATAGAACTTTTAGAAACATTGGTGACTTGTGTTAGTGAATTGGCCTTAGATGCTCCAACAAATAAGAAAATGTTATCTGTAAGAGACAGAGTTATTTTGACAATGGTAAAAATTAAACAAAATATGTCATTTAGAGCCATTGGTGTTTTGTTTGGTATAAACAGGCAGACATGTTCTAATTATTTTAATAATATGTGCCCCATGCTGAGTAGAGTACTCAAAGTTGTTATTCCTTGGCCTGATATCGAAGTGATACGTAGCAACCTACCTAAATCATTCCAAAAATATAAAAATACAAGAATTATATTAGACTGTGCTGAAACTGTGATTGAAAAATGTAAATGTTTAAAATGTAGAATATTGACATACTCTCAATATAAAAAAACAATACAGCGAAGTTTAATATTGGAATAACTCCTTCTGGCCTTATAACTGAAACAAGTGCATCTTATGGTGGTCGAGCATCAGATAAACATATTGTAAATGAATCAGGAATCTTAAATAAATGCGAGTTTAATGATGGAGTGATGGTGGATAAAGGATACAGGATTGAATCCGAATGTAATGAAGTTAGTTAAGGATATTAATTGAATAGTTAGTACAAATAACATTTTATTAATTATGCAATGTATTTACATATTAATGTTCTTGTTACAGCGTCTGCTTCAGCTTGTCAGGCCTCCTTTGTTGAGTCAGAAAAAGCAGATGACCAAAGAAGATGCAATCCGCACTGCAGAGATTGCACGGGCAAGAGTGCATGTTGAGAGAGTGATACAGAGATTACGACAATATAAACTTCTATGTGGACCATTACCATGGTCACTGGCGCCTTACAAATTTGGGTCCACCAATTATTCACATTGGTAAATTTATGTAGTTATTGAAAATTATACCTAAAAGCGAAACAAGGGAAGCTTATGAATAGGAAGGGTATTGTAAGAGTGGCAATAAATTTTTACAGTGAATAAATAATTTAGTACACAGAGTTGTATTTATTTTTATTCAAATTCAGTCATAATTTGATCCATACTCGTTAACTATTCTAGGAAGAAATTTCTCAAAATAAACATTAACAAGACATACACAAATTTCCAAAATATAATTTTCATCAAATGAAACTCTTCTTACAGCTAAATCCTTTCCTATTTCAGAGTAAACTAAATATACACATTCTGTAATACCCGACAATAACATACCTACGAGTATAATACTGAGTAATTTTTTTTTCAAATTTTGATTTTTATCCAATATAGGAATTGCATTCATTTCTATAAGTTCATCCGCAGTTAAACGAGTGCCTTCCTTTAATGTCTTAATCTCAATATTTCTAAGAAAATTTCCATCTTTATCCATGGCAGTACCGTCTAGAACCGTGCAGAAAGCCATGGTAATTCTGGTCGAACCAGCAATCCAGACTCTAAAATCATGCAGCTATAATGCTCTGCATATAAATCTCTTGCGACTGCTTCACAGCGAAGGCCTCTGATAGTATCTTCATTCCCAAGGAAATTACTGTGAAAAACCTCTTGATATCTTTTATCCCAATCAGCATTTTTATTAGAATAATAAGTAAACTGGGCTCTCGCTTTGAAGGCTGTTAGTCTTACTTTTCTAGCTTTATGCCAAGAAGGAGTACCCTGCTCAGCATTGATTATTTCTGTACTTTGGTCTAATGATCCAGCTACATATCTGTTGTAAAATTCAAATTCATTTACTTCACATGTCTTCAACTTTTCTTCAGTCAGTTTTCTTAATACATTCATTACCCGCCACGAATTAAAAGTCAATAGTTTTTCAGGAAATTTTGTCTTGTCTACACTTCTACTAATTACCCTTTCACCATAATCAACAACTCCATCACCTCTTCGCATGAGACTTGTAAATAAAGAATATTCACTGTTTGGTATGCCTGAAATAAACAACATAATTTTTGAAACTTCATTTTAGTTTGTAACTGTACATTCAATCTGCAAATATAATATTTTTTATCAAATTGATGTTTTCCAGGTAAGTGCCATATACTCTTATGCTTTACAAGTATTTACTCTGCATTAACTTCATTCTCCAACGACTTTCCATCTCTTCAGTGACTTCTGGCATTGTTTTCACATAGATGTCCCTCTGTCCTTTCACATGGCACATTTCAATGTGCCATGTGAAAGGACAGAGGGACAGAAATCATTGTCTGAAGACAATGATTTTGCTTCGTATTCCTTCAATGCTGTAGTTTTAAGTGTACCCCATTGTTTCTCAATGTCCGTACAACTCAGGTCCTCCAGATCTGCCTCCTCAGTTCTGAAAAAGAGAAAAATAGCTAAACATTTACAATTATGGTCTAATTTTAGTACTTATATAGTAAGTAAGTTACCTGGCAGTAAAATTGTTACAGACAGACAGCCAGAGTAAATTAGGTACTTACTTTAACATTTATAGTATTCATAGTGCATATGGATGAGGTAGGACAAATGGATATAAAAGTTATTGATCCATTCACAAACCTTGAGAGATAAAGCATGACAGCTAATATGTGTTTACATTTCTCTGAAGCTCTAGCAGGGCAATCGCAGACCTTTGTGACTTCTTGTTCATTATCACCAACTAATCTATTTCCATATTCTTGAGATACATCTATCCACAGTTTTATAATGGCTGGATGTTTGGAATTTAATCCCGACGTGCGCAGTACCAGTGCTTGTACGTGAATTATGTTATTATTTTTCTCTTTTTTTCCAACCAAAATCACCATTTCACTCCGTAATAATTCTTCACCAGAACGCATTGGTTTTGTGTATCCTGCAGACGCATTAATTACATCGGCTATTGACAACATAATTATTCTCTTAAACTGCAAAATGCCACATAAATCTTATTTGTATTTAATATTTATGTTTTTCCCTGGCGTTAACTGTTCTTAGTCAGATTCGCAATTTTGACACTAGAGGCGCTAGTTAGAATCTTTGCATCGTCAATAACATTTATTAAGATTATGTAATGTTAAATAACCACTGATAGTGACTGATCACTTCCATGCTGTTTCTAAATATTTTTATTATTATGTTGTACAAAACACACTCATCTATTTATAGACTGTTATTATTAGTGATTATTTATTTGTAGCTTAGCCAAGCAGGTAAAAGTATAGCTCATAATAAGAATAGGTGACTCTCTTGGAAATGCAGCAATCACATAAAAGTCATTTGCTACTTTTAAACGTCCCTCAGCAGATGGCACATTTATATAACGAGATCTCATATTTGCTATATGTTCTGTAACTCTATGCACGATTCGATGCAGAGACGGTTGCTCAATATGGAATATGTCCCCTATAACTCGTTGATAACTGCCTGTTGCGTAATACAGAAGTGTTATCAATATTTGATCCACGTACTGCAAAGATCTATTTCTTTTTGTCGAAGGTTTTATCTTGCTACCGAATACAAAATCCAAATACAACACAGTTTCTTTTGAAACGCGGAACCGTGCACGAAATTCTTTGTCGTCATATTTATTGAAAGCGTCAAGCTTGATATCATTTCTTCGACATCCTGAAGGCGTTTCGTTGTCCGAAAGGGAAGATACCGGCGAAACATACATATTTAGCACCTAAAAATACTTTTAATAGATTTGAGAGTCCTCGCTACCACACTAACTTACTTAGATTAATTTGACGTTTGATTTGACAGCTAAAACGCGTTGAGTGATGTTTCAGTATACCAATTTTTAGTTAAGTAGGGTTTAAGTACAACTCAATTTGAGTCACATTTAAATTTAGGAGATGCTTAAAATTTAATTATGAGAATACGAATTTAGAGTTTAGGAGCTGCTCAAATGTTTGAGAAGCCGTTAAATATTTGAGGGACGTTTCAGTATTCGGGCATAAGTCACATTTTAACAGTTTTATATTTCAAACCACAAGAAGAGTCTCACATAAAGAAGTAGAAGACGATAGATACATTTACAATATACAGAAGATGAAAGCAGAAAGTACAGTATAGAAATACGAGCATAAAATAAGAAGTTAATATTTAAATAATTTATGATAATTACAAAGCTAAAAGTCGGCGTAGGCGCAAGCGGTTCAGGTTTCGCGTTATTTGAAATGCGGCCGATGAACATTCCGTGACGTAGGCACATTACTAAGGTACACGAGTTTGACAGTAAAATAGATGTTCGTTTCCAATGTACTTCTACCCGTCGGCGCCGAGAGTTATACAATACATACAATACTATAATAAATAGAAATAATACAATGATGTGTAATTGATATAGTATTGTAGATATATACGAGTAAATAAAATAAAATATAATATATTGCAGTATTCATATTTAATTATGTTCATATATGTAAAAATAATTATATATAATGATTTCTTATATTTACGCGAACACTACACATTGAAATAATACTAGTTTTTACGGAATTTATCGCGTATATTTAACTTTTTAATTATCCGACGTTTCGAACGCTTTACAGCACTCATGATCACGGGCAGGACTGAGATGTTCAACGTCCATATGTCATAGTTAACCGCGGTTACCATAGATTAAAATTTAACTTTTGTTCCGATCTATGCAGTATGAACTTATGGTATCTTGAAGTCTTGCAGTTGTATGCTTGGGTTGGGATTTAATTTTATTTATTATAGGATGCCAAGCAGATGGTAGCACCCAGCCATCTTCTCTATTGAAATTAGGATGTTTTTTGATTTCAATAGCCTCGCGAATCATCCTTGGAAGGAATCGGTGTTCTTTAGCGAGGATCTGCGGTCTATCAAATCTGATGTAGTGACGGGGGCGATCCTGTACGTGTTCACAGACTGCAAACTTCCCGGAGCGTCGATTCTTCACATCAGCTATATGTTCTTGTTGTTTATATATAGCTATACGTTTTTATTGATCTTTTAGTTTGTCCTATGTAGGAGAGACCACATTCACAATCAAGCTTGTACACTCCTGCATCTTGCAGAGGGACATTACACTTGACCGATGGTAAAAACTGACCAATCTTCTTCAGCGGCTTGAAGTATGTTTTGATGGAAGCGCGCTTCAAGATGTAGCCAATCTTGTCAGTGACTCCTCTAACATATGGCAGTACAGCAGGTACACGTTCGACTGTGGCCGGCTTCACTCGTTCACTGTGACGTAGGCGCGAGACTCGAAGCTTGTTGTCATGCAAAACTTGCTTGACATGGTGGAGCTCTGCAGCCAGGTGTTTACTGTCACAGATCCCTCGTGCTCTCTGAAACAAAGATTTACCCACGGTAGCTAACTGTGAAGGATGGTGGTGAGAATCACCGTTTAAATATCTATCTGTATGGGTCTTTTTTCTATACACAGTATGGCTCAAGGTGTTATCAGGATTCCGAATTAATTAATTATTCCGGTGAAGGAAGGTACTAAGAAGCTGGAAGGAGTATGTTGTTCGACGGGGTGTGTACTGGACTTTGAAAATTCAATCTGGGTCCATTGGACCCATAACTATAGTTAAGGGTTAATGATTTTTGATGACAAAACCCAAAACATTGGAGTTAGTTGAAAATTGTGGCCAGTTCGAAAGACAAATCATTTACTTTTTATTTTATTTTATTAAAGTAATGTGTAAACAGTCTAATGTAACATGATTCAGGCATCTGTGTCATGATATAAGTTTTTTTTACAGATATTTGAAGTTAATGATTTATTTAAAGATTGAGGAAAGCTGTTATTTGACGGCATTAAAAAATACGGATGGTGTTGTTTTCGTTCAAACATTTTTAAAAACATGCCTGGTTATTGTTCTTTCTTTTGAGGCATCAACTACGCGGATAGCTCACAAATTAATGAAATTAGGGCCTACAAACCAAATAGAGGGTGAAAAATATAATTTATTGGCGAAATAATTAAAACAAACTTTGTTTAAAATCCTTTATTATTCGTGTTCAAAATTTTCGCCGCGGTTCCTAACACAAGCACTGGCCCGTCTTCTCTCAATTTGTTGTTATTTTTAACTTTATCTCCATTTTCATCGTTTCAAACGTTTAAAAATTAAATTCTCTCAATCAATTCTCCTCTTGTGTTTATTTCCACATTCGTATAGACTAGTTCTTTGGCACGACCCCACACAAAAAAGTCAAGTGGAGTCAGGTCAGGTGACCGGGCGGGCCAAGGGATAGGCCCATCTCTGCGTATCCAGCTGTTAGGGAAGCAATTATTTAAGTGCTTTCAAACATTTAATGTCCAATGCGCTGGACTACCATCTTGTTGAAAGATGATTTCTCGGTCTGTAGCGAATATCGGGGCCCCGTAGTCTTCTGCAAGATCTGAAAGATCATTTTGTAGGAATTCCAAATAATTGTTGCCATCCAAATTATCCGGTAAGATATGGGGCCCAATTAATGACCTGCCAATTACTCCAGCCCACACGTTGACCGAGAATTTCCTATGAAAAGACTTCCGCTTTTTCCAATGTGGATTATAAGATTTCTCAGCCCATTGATGAAGGTTATGGAAGTTAGTAATGCCTTCCCTGGAAAATTTACTTTCATCTGTCCACAAGATTGATTTCAGGAACCATGTATCTTCAATATCTGCGTTGAGAAGAAAACGACAAAACTGAATCCTTCTCTGAGGGTCTCGCTCATCAAGACCTTGAACACCAGTGCCATGAAACGGGTACTTGTTATTTTGGTGCATTGTGTTCCACACCTTCCAATGAAAAATATTTAAATTACGAGCTATTTTCCTAGTGCTGGCATGTATATCAGCTTGAATTGCCGCCAAGATATCTTCCTCGATATGTATCCCATCTTCAGCAAGCCGACGAAATGTGTTGTAAAATACTCTCTCATTTGGTGCTCTGCGATTAGGATAGTGTTCTTGGTACATCCGTCGTGCTAAAGATCCATTGCCGTCTGCTCTGCCATACATAAAAACAATGTCAGCATATTCCTCGTTCGAGAAAGAAGTCATAGTCACTTCTCAAATACAAAAAGGCGTAGAAGCGAATTAAAACAAAAATTTTACAGTCAAAACGAACACGTGCAGGAGCACAGAGCTAGGTAGCTAAGGCTTCAACTGGACACGGTGAAACAATTCAAACTAAATTAACACGTGCAAGAGCGCAAAGGGCTACTACAACTGAACACGGTAATTTATCACGGATAAGGAAATAACGTCCAGTCACAAACGTAGTTGTAACTCGACTAAGAATACTAGCGTCCCTTAAAGCAACAGGTAGTTACCCAGACGAAAGAAACACGACGCTATTGTCTTACCCATAAAGTTGTTTTTCTTGTGAAATGTAATTTACGCATCGCTATTTTTTATTACTAGGCTCGCTACATGAGCCTAGTTATAAAAATACCTGTAAAATACTCGAAATTATTTACGTAAAAAGGTAAATTATATTCACACAAAAACTTTCATTACAATTTTATGATAAAACACTAGAAAATCCAAAAATCAACACAATAACATTCACGCGCAAATGGTGTACAAAATGAACGTAGATTATAAATAAATATCCATAGCATAACTATTTTTATGACACTAGAGGATAGAAAATTTCATATTGATTCTATAATGCCAAACTTCTTCACAGAAAAGTAGTCTTTAAATGTAACTTTTAATGCTTTAAAGTGCAGTAGGTGTGCTCGGTCGAATTCGACCGCCTAAATTTTGACGGAATAGCGCCGCGGTCGAATTCGACCGCTTATAGCGGTTTCAGACTAGCGTATTTTTTGCGCGTATACGGTCGTTTCAGCATACGCGCTTATACGGGCGCTACATTACGCGCTTCTAAAAACCATACTCGCGTAAACGGGCATATTTCGGCGTGTTCGCTCGCACCGGTGGTGTCGTGTCAGTATCAACATGGATTCTGACGAAGAAACATTACTATTTGCGTTACTTATTCGCCGTCGACTGAGACGACGAAAAAAATGCTGGGTGTCACCGATAGTTGCATCAAGACTAATGACCGGTCACTTTAATACACTTTACCCAGAACTGCGAAGTGATTCTAAACGATTCAAAAATTACTTTCGAATGTCTTTGAGTACTTTTGATGTATTGTTAAATATATTAAAGTCACAGTTAGAGCATAAAGATACTGTGTTAAGGAAAAGCATATCTGCTGAAGAGAGGCTTGCGATCACTATAAGGCGAGTATTAAAAGTCAAATGTTTACGTTTACAAAATTTATTTACGAAATTAGTTATTATTTATGAACAAATCTTGAAAAATAAAATTCACAAACTTTCCTAATATTCTAGGTGCTATCGATGGCAAACATATAGAAGTATTTCAGCCGGCTCACAGTGGCTCACTTTACTTTAATTATAAGCATTATTTTTCTCTTGTGCTATTAGCAGTTTGCGATTTAGATTTTAATTTTATTTTCATTGACGTGGGTTCTTACGGAAAAAGTGCAGATTCGCAAATATACAAAAACAGTACACTATACAAAATGATTAATGAAAAGTCATTAAATATTCCTAAACCCAGACCCTTACATAGTTCAGGCGATTGCCGTTCACATTCATTGGCGATGAGGCTTTTGAGTTGGAAGAAAATATGCAAAGACCATATAGTGGCAACATTTTGTCACCAAAACAAAGAATTTACAATTACAGACTATCCAGAGCCCGCCGCCATATCGAATGTGCATTTGGGATTCTGGTTAATACATGGAGGATCCTCCACCGACCACTAAATGTGTCAATTGATTTGTGGGAAGATATTGTAAAATCTTGTTGAAATCAGACATTTTTCTGCACTTGTTTTCTCTTCGAAGTTTGTTTCCAACGCTGCAGATAGTTCCTCCCAAGCATTTCGTTTTATTATTCTATTAGAATATTCCTTGGTCCTACTATCCCATATTGCTGGGATATGTTCAACAGTATATGACATTGTAAAACGTAATCCACTGCTAAAATGTATATCCACTGAAATGTGAAGTTGTCAACTGAGTCACGTGCGTGCGTGGTCTCCGGCAGAGGGGGAAATAGGCGCGCGGGGAGGTTTCTCTCGCAGCTCGTACTTATACGAGCTTAGAAGCGCGTCAAAGCTCATACGAGTCGAGTGTAACAAAAGGCGCGCCTATACGCGCCTACATGCGCTTCCAAAAACTAGCTCATATGCGCGTATAAAACGCTAGTCTGAAACCGCTTTTAGAGGCTGAACGGTTAAATTAAATAAATAAATAAAGCAATGTGTGAGTCGCCGCTAAGGTATATCTCCAATTTCGTTAAGGACTTGGACTACAAAGTTCAATTTATGTGCAAAACATCCAAATTGTAGCAAGCCGTTGATCTCGACATATCTGGCAGCACTCTCCATTATCGGAGAAAAAAATTACTTTGTCGTCAATGCCCCAGATTTGCAATATTGTTTTTATTTCTCTATATATTCTTATACCATGTATGGGGTTAAACTATAAACGTCCGGTACTCGCGTACGGTATTGGGAGGGGGGAGGTGGGTCATGGGAAGCCCCCCTAATAAACACTCTAGGGTTAGGGCAGACAGGACTACGTAGAGTCGGGGTGTACTAATTCGGTTTTAGAACCAATTCAACCAGTGGTATCTATAAAGTCAGATAACTAAACTCTGCTATGATAGTGTTAAATGAAAAAATTTAATTTTTGTTCTAATTATTTAGATTTTTTCAATATTTCGTCTCCACAAATACTCCACTACAACGTCTGCATAGTTTTGTTTTTTGAAAAACCTCTTCACTGCTCTCCACTGTGCCTCAATTCGTTGTGCATGAGTCCCAACTTTAGCCAAAAATGGATTATCTGGGTCTGAGTGATAAACTCTTTTATGGATTAGCCGTGTTCTTACAAGCAATCATATGCCCGCCAAGAATCGGTATGAATGGTGGTACCCGCTGCCACATGTTTTTGTATAAGTGGCACCAGCACCTCAGCAGTTCCGATATTGTGTGGCACACCTCTAGTCTGAGATCCTCAGACCCATCTTCTATCATACCGAGCACCCAGTGGCCTTCGATATGACGGCCTATCCTATTACAAACAATATTAATTTTAGACATTTATATTACAAAAACAAAGGTGAAAACACAATTATACTTATATTTAACTTTATTGTATTTGCGTTTTCCAAATTTGATCTCATCAATTTGTAAAAATTTTCCAGGGCCACCAATCTTTCCAGAAAACTGATTTTGTTTCTCCAGATGGTATATGACAACTACCTCTCGATAGTAATTGTACCAATCACATATAGTGTTTGGGACTTAGACATTGTTGTCTCTGTCATTTATATGAGTCTTCATAATTGTTCGAATATAAGATCATCCTTGTGAGTACGCATATATGAGATAATATATGTGGATCATATCAATGGATACATTTTCAAAAAAAGTACCTTGTCGTCGTGAGATCTTAACTCCACTGCCTCCACCTTTACACTTACAGGATGCTTTAGGACATACGAATGTACCAAACGATTTGTAACTACTTGAGTTTGAAATTTTCGTTTTTATTTTACGTTTGCTGCACTTTCTTTCCTGTAGAATCAGTCCTTCATCCTCACTATATTGAACACATTGCTCATTCATTCCAAGTTCGCGCACAATATCTGACAGATTCCACATGTATAATATCTCAGACACGTATAGCCGACGCTTTACATAGTCGCCGTCGTCAGAGCAATCTTCGACGATGTCTTATGGTGCCTCGAGTAAAGCATCGGGTGTCGAACAGGATCCCGCTACGGGTTCGTAATCGCTAATTCTCAGGTCCGGTAAGCAAGCCAAAGTCCAAAGTAATGCAATCCAATCAAATACAAAACCAAAGAAAAATTCAAACGTAAGTGCAACCAAAAAAAGTCCAAAAACTGAAAAAAAGACGTCGAAGAAACAGAGAAAACTTAGCACTAAGCACTAGAGAGAATATTCGCGTGACCACTAAAGAAACGGAATGACGATTGACGTTTGACGTCATAGACAATATATTATATTTGACATTTACGGTTGCCCAAAAATGGCCGTCAACACCGTCCCGTTTCACACTTTTTACACCGGTTTTCGACATCTTACCTCATAACACTATGCAAAATTGTCATATTTGCGTTTCGTTATACGGAATTTTTAGTAAAATTAAATTTTATCCTAATTAATTCAAATCGCATTTCCGACATCTAAAAACAGGGTAATAGGTTCAAGCTTAACCCTATCAAGCCTCCTAGACTAAAAACATTATCAAAATCAAGTTCCGGACGTCTATAGCCAACCCCAGCATGGTGACCTTCAAATTCGCCACATTGAATAAATATTGATTTTAATTCCATAGGATCTTTCATTATAAACATTTGTAACTATCAAAACTACAGGTCCGAGTATCGACTGTAATCGCATTTATTTCTTCTACCCTCATCATATATTTTTGGCAGTAAATTCACTAAAAAAGTTTGTCGGTCCGATCTTTCATAATTTGGCTTCAGTACATTCGTATTCTCATGAAACTCTGCGTCATTTACAATTTAAAAAGGTTGAAAATCATCCAAAATCATTTTTAAAAGACATATCTGTTATTATTATTTTTAATTCTTTTCTATGGTTAGGTTTAAAAAAAAAATAAAGAATTAATTTTTGCTCTCACGTCCTCTGCTCATATGCATTTGCTCTTTTCACTTCAAACTGTTTGCATGTGAGCTGTCCCACACCTCAAGTACATGTGTTTCTGACACATTTATAAATTCTTTCAAGTTTTTTTGGTCGTTCGTTAGACCAAGAGCTTCAATAGCCCACAGTTTACTGACTAGCAAGTTAAGGCCAATTTACACTTTGCGAAGTGTGAAGTGATAAGTGTTAAGCGTTAACTTTACGCGATAAGTCTCAAGTGTTATGTAGTCTTTTCCATCTCCGTTTACACAGTGTTTAGGAAGAAGCTCAAAGTAGTGGTACTGTCCGTTGTGCATAGTGTCTCTAGAAATGGAAGATGAACAGCGCTTAATATTGAGACAAATAATTAAGGAGATTGTATCTGTTGTGGTATCTGATATAGATAATGAACTCAATTTTAAAATCAATAGGCCTAAGAGATTATGGCAAACAAAATGGATTACCAGACGTTCTCAGTATGGAGCCAGCAATAAACTTTTTGAAGAAATTGCTGAGGAAGATCCTGCTGAATTTTACAGATCAATGCGAATAACAGAAACGCAATTTGAAGAGTTGCTGACGCACGTTGAGCCCACCGTAAAAAAAAAAACAGATACTTTAATGAGGAGTGCACTCACGCCAAATATAAAACTTCAGATAGTGTTGTATTTTCTTGCCACTGGTTGTAGTCTGCGTACTTTGTCACATTTATTGAGAGTATCTAAACCAGCAATAAGTTTAATGATACCGATAGTCTGCGATGCTGTATACAACGCCTTAAAAGATTATATAAAGGTAGTAAAACACATTAACAAATATTTTATACCGGTTTTATTTTTAGATATAAAATTACAAACATAAAATTGTATTGGAATGCTGTAAATTCCTTATGCAGATTCCCAAGCTTGGGTTAACACATCATTTCTATCAACAACAGAAGTAAATGCATTTTCAGAATTTGACTGATTTGTCACAACAGTTGTATTTGTATTTTCAATAACTCAGTATATTATGTTATTATAAATAACTCAATGTTGCATTTTCATTGTATGTATCATCGTTGCTCGAATAATAAGAAGAAACTTCAACAATTTCTAGAAATGGTTGAAGTTGGAGGAGACGACATAAAATGTGGTTGTGTTCTGTTTTCTACCATTTCATAAATGAAATTCAATGTTTGAGACTGACGGCGGATATGTTTCAAGCGCAAACCAGAAAGATAATTTTGGATATACTGTTGTGCTTCAATTGTCGACTCCATTGGTAAAAAAAAATAAGTCGTAAAATTAAGTCCAAATAAGTCGAATTTATTCTCTGATACAACAGAGCTCTTGACACTGTTGGCTACATTTTGGGCCTTTGTCAATAAGTTATCATAGTCTCGTAGCATCGTCCTTTTCCGAGGATTTGTCCCTTTAAATGACTGGCCCGAGTCATTGCTTGAGGTATTTTCCTGAACTCTTGAAGTATTTTCAACAGCCTTCTCGCCTTCAGTGTCTCTTGTCTCAACATTATCTTCATTGATTTTATCTTGAGACTCCAGGTTCTGTAAATACATAACATGGCATTAATAAATATATTTATTATTTGTTGCAGATTCCCAGAAGTACAGAAGAATGGAAAAGTATTGAAGAAGGGTTCAGTCAAAAATGGAACTTTCCCGGTTGCTTTGGTGCATTAGACGGTAAACACGACGTACTGAATGCACCAGATGATTATGGAAGTTATTATTACAATTACAAGAACCAGCACAGCATCGCATTCGCATTCTTATGACATTAGTAGACCATGATTATTGTTTTATTTATTTTGACATTGGATGCAATGGACGAATCAGTGATGGAGGAGTTTTCCGAAACTCCAGCTTGAGCCACACTCTAGAGAATAATTTTCTACCACCAAACCGTGTGATTGTTGCAGATAATGCTTTCCCATTGAAAACGTACCTTATGAAACCATACGGAGGAAATAATTTATGTCTTAAGCAAAAAGTCTTCAACTACAGATTATCACGGGCCAGTGGGGAGTGAAACAGTACAAGGGGGGAGGTCACTTAACACCAAAAATAGACCTTGATTCTATTCACTCGCACTAATCAATAAGCACTAATCGTACTTAACAATAATCATTTCACGCTTCCGTTCACAGCTTGATTACTAAACACCTGCACTAATCACCTGCAGTGTTAACAAAGTGTAAACCGGGCTTTAGAACTAGTAAAAATTTTGAAAAAAATGCACAAATTGAGGCTGAAAAAAAATTATTGCTCGATGAGCAACTTAAACAAGAGAAAATAAAAACGGAACTGTTAGAATTACAGTTCCTACATTACTACTTATTTACATTATTACATCTTTAACAAAAAATTGTAATAATGTAAATAAGAAATGAAAAGGAGGTTACACTATAAAATGACTTTTATTTATAATGATTGTAAACGTAAACTTCTGAAGTAATTACAGTGAAACCTGGTTAAGTGAGACATCAAGGGACCTGCAATGTCGTTTCACTTATAGAGGTATTCCACTTACCCAGTGTCTCAGATATACAGGTATAAATAAATATCTGTCTCATTTACAGAAGGGTTCCATTAATAGAGGCGAGAATACAGGTTATTTCAGTTATACAGGTGCGATCATTAAATAAAATAACGTGTTATGTATGTAAATGAGTTTTAATAAAAAAAATATATGTAGTACTTAAAAGTAATCATACAAATGTAATCAACAAAAATATTCAAGCACGTTTTTACACGTAATATGTACGAATATGGAAACAGAATGTATCAATTATAAAAATCTGTCATTTAAGTTTGTCGTTTGGAAGTATCAGCCATCAGATGTTTTTCGATATTATAAATTTAACAAATATGCTTTGGTCACCAATTGATGACATTTCAAAATAACTGTGCAAAGTTTCTAGTGCTTTTACTGCTTCGCGTTTAGAAATTTTTACTAAATTTACTTCCGCGCTCATTTTATCGTCTTCTTCTTCATTTTCCAATGAAGAAGACGAGAAGGCATGAACAATGTCGCTTTCATTAAGTTCTCCTGAAACTATTAAACCGTCATCGACGTTTATAAAATCTTGGAATGTTGGCTGTTGATTATTATCGTTGCTGATGGGCTAAGTTCCAATCTTCAGGATCAGTTTCTAAATTTTCGTCCTCCTCTTGTAAGCTTTCAGCTACAGTTACTTCAGATTTAAATCCAGATTTTTAAAGCAGTTTGCTATAGTAGTTTTGGTCACAGAAAACCAAGCTTTCCTAGCAAACCTCATCGCCTGAAGAACATCGATTTGTGGGCACTGATTGTCTTCTATAGATTTAATAACATGTCGAACAACTTCTTTTCTGTAATAAATTTTGAAATTGTTGATGATGCCTTGATCCATTGGCTGCAATTTACTTGTCGTATTCGCAGGCAGTTACACGAGTTTAATGTAGCTTAGCTCGGGCATATTATTGTGAGCAGTACAATTGTCCACAAACATTAAAATTTTTCTACCAATCAGAAAAAATAGTGCATGTCATCCATGCCTTTTTATTATTTTGTAATTCACAGGCAAAATTTTATCACCTTTGAAACATCGTGGAGACTTAGATTTTTCGATTAATAGGATAGGCAACTTTTCAGTTCCTGACATGTTAACACCTAGAAGTATTGTAATGCGCTCTTTACTAAGTTTCCCGCCATGACAAGACTCACCTTCTAAGGTAAAAGTTTTATTGGGTAGACACTTATAAAATAAACCCGCTTCGTCTGCGTTAAAAATATCATCAGCAGAACAATTGCGTAATAGAACTGGTAGGTCTTCAATCCATTGGCTACATTTGTTAACATCAACAGCGTTACTTTCTCCACAAATTGCTTTGAAAACTATACCGTTTCTTTTCTTAAACCCTTCCATCCAACCATTGCTGCTACAAAAATTATGAATATCGAGCCTTCGCGCGAAATCTTGTGCCTTTTCTTTAATCATCGGTCCACATACCGGAACGTTTTTGTTACGAAGTTGCTTAACCCATGTTAGCAAACACTGTTCAAGTTCAGGATATTCTGATAAACGTACACGTTTTAGTTTTCCTTGTTCTTCAGAACATTGTGATTCAATTTTATGTTTACTCTGAATTATTCTACAAAGAGTAGATTTTGGCACATTAAATTCGGCACAAACTTCTTCGCGTGTCTTCCCACTTTCATAAACGGATATTAACTTCAGTTTTTCACGTAATGATAACGATTGTAGCTTTCGTTTTGATATTTTTCAAATAAACATCTGTATGATAGTAAAGCGAAACTAAAACTGAAGGTAATTGAAGCTCAAAATTTGTACTTACGTACTTGGAATTACGTGTGGAATTTGTGGGTAGAATAAGAATGAGTAAACAAACAATGTTATCTCAGTTACAGAGGTTTATGCATATAAAAGTTACTCGCTGTCTCAGTTATAGAGGAAACTATGATGATAAATCGAAAGAACAAATCCCAGATATAGAGGTTTACCTCGTCCCGCTAACAGAGGTAATTCAGTGCCAAAGTGTTGGGACCTCAGCATGAGTTCCAGTTATGGAGGTTTCTCACTTATCCAGGTCCCACTTAATCAAGTTTCACTGTATTAATAAGACTTCTGCGCACAGGATTTATGTCTTAGTTTATGTTATCACTATATCTGTGCTCTCTAATATGCCCTCGTACTATTAAATCTTCCCAAGGAGCAGGAAAGTTTTATTTCCGGATCATCAGATGGCAAATCTTCATTTGCTTTTATTAAGATGTACATCACAGCCGCAGCAACAATTATAGGAAGGCAATTTTTTAACTGTACTTGTATACCTAATGCAAGTACTGGGAATCGACTCCATACTTTACACTTCCATACTCCAAACAGGCGTTCAATGGGGTTCTTGCTTCCTATTTGAGATTCATTGTACAATCTCGCCTCTGGGGTTATTGGATTCTGCAGTGGCATCATAATGTATGGTCGGTTCATATAACCCCTGTCTGCTAAGAGAAAGGCATCACCGTATCGATCACTTTCAAATATAGCGCTTCTGTAGGATCCGTTCCAAATAGTTTGATCTTGGCTGCTTCCTGACCATCTCGCTACCAAATCAAAATTTTCTAAGTTAGCATTTCCTATTGCTTGCCCATTTATAGACATGTAGCCTTTCCTATTCCGAAAATGTTCTCCATTTTCCCCACCAGGAGAAAGAATGCGTATATGTGTACAATCAAGAGCACCCAGTGCCTTAGGAAAGCATGCTATGTTATAAAATTGTAATTGTACTTTTTTTTATTCTTCTTCAGAGACGGGAAATTTTATAAACTGGCGACTAAGTGACGCTATAGCCGCAGTAACTCTATGTATAATTCTGTGAGAAGTGAACTTGCTCATTCCACAGTAACCACCCATAGTTATTTGTTGTAAACCAGTAGCATAATATCTCAAAGTTAAAAGAAGTTGGTTTATTGGCGAAATCGAATTTTAGGTTAGCTTCATCCATGCCCATCATCCACATTATTCTTCTTTTAGGTTTGTGTAATATTCACGGTAGAGATGATGGAGTGATCTTATTACTAGGGGGAAACAATGTGTGCGCTTTTAAACTATATTATAATTAGCATCCAAACATTTTAATACCTAATAATAAACACCTTACATAAGAAGTTGTACTCGACAACAAAACAAGCATATTTTTAATTCAATTCACAAAATAAGGTAATGTTAAAGTAGGTACTCACCGATTTGATGGATATTCAAGTTTATCTTCAATCATTTGCAAAACATCCATACAAGATCCTTTCGTCAAACGAAACCTTGTTGTAAAATCTACATCGTCATATTCTTCAAAATAACCACGTCGCTCTTTATGTGTTTTAGGACGTCGAACAATATTATCTTAACGTTCTAAATTTTCTAAAAGATCATCATTTTCGTGTTCACAAATAAAATTATACGCCGCTTCCATTTTATTTCACCAACTGACAACCAATTTGACAGCCGTTAAAAGCATTAACGGACCTTTGGAGAAGTGATTAAGTTTAACGCCTTCTCTTAAGAATTAACCATTCGTTAGTATGTGGTGGAACACTCACTACGCCTAACGGGCTGTTATATATTTTGTTTGTTATATATTTAATTGAACGTTAAAACTAACAAACAGCGTATGGTGAAACTAGCTCTAATGCTAGTTTGATATACACACCCGCCCGATACCCGATACACGACTGTTTGACGAACGATTGACCAAATTCAGTATTTATTATTCAGTGTTTGTTTTTGACTAATTAAATAAAGTATTTAGTAATCGTCGAGTAATGGTGTACCGCGTCTCACTGCTTGCATAATTTAAGCTACAATACGAAAACCACAAGAACATTTTAATATTGGCAGGTTTTACACAGTACATGCATTCCAACTTAAAGTGATTGAGAAATTAGATTTATAAGAAAAACACAAATGAAAATTAAAATAATATTTCAGCGGCCTTGTAATTATAACTGTTTCCTGAACAACTGTCGCCTTGATGATACGAATCGTAGAGTATTTTCTTTT